TTTTGATGTGATCTGGTATTTTAAGGGTGGTATTTAGTTTGGTTTTTTTTTTCTTCTTCTGAAAATAGGATTTTTTTTTCTCTCCATTCTTGAGACTCCAAAGCAGGGAAGAGACATCATGCATCTTGAGAAGGCCCTAGGGCCCCTAAAATTTTCAGTACATTTTTGCTGCTTTGCTTAATATAGAAAGTCATTTAAATACAAAGTTTTGAAAAGCTATCACAAGAAAATTCTGAGTCAATGAACTTTCAACTCTGACTGAGACTGCAGGTTACTTACAGTAATCAGAGATGCTGAAAAACAACTGAAAGATTTTTCTGAACTGAAAAAAGCTCTTCAGGAACTTCAAATTAATAGTAACGTTTTCATAAAATCATGAAATAGAAATATATAAAGAAAAAAAATTGTTAAAGTAAATGGCTCCTGCCGTCAGGATATGTGAATAAATTCTTGTGTATGCAAGTGTGAAAGTAAAGTTTATTAGCAACAAAATGAAAATCGATGACTTCCCATTTTTTTCAACTGTGAACACTGAACTTGGTTCCTTTTTAATACTATAGTTTGTCTCATTATCTTAAATTACATTAATGTAAAGTTACTTGCTTTTTAAAAAGTACCCTTTTAAATATAAATTCTGTATGTCTGTAGCACTAAAACAGAAGCTACCTGAGTTAACTTATTTGATTATTCACAGAAGAAGCCACCCAGATTCCTGAATTTCAGTGAGCAAATGGTTTTTATCAGTTTCATAAATATGTTTGTATGTGAAAAATCTATAAGTACTATTACCTTTTGATTGCATTTAGTATTCAGAAACCAAATGATACCCTGTTCTGCTTCTGATTTTTATTTCAGTTGCATGACATTTCAAGCTTAATTTAAACACAATAATAGCAAAGTCTGTGTCTAATGCCTTGATTACATTTGTAAAGCCACCTAAACAGCCACACACTTTGGTAGGTTTTTTTCTTACTAGTTATGTGTCAGGAATGCTTTAGACCTACTTTACCTGCATTTTATGTGGGGCAAAGCCTTAATTAAAAAATTATAGTATTTGAAGGTGTTTTTGCGCAAAAAAAATTGCAAAAAATTGCAGGAAATCTAAAAAAAAAAAATTCCTAATAGGGCATGGCTTGATATATTGATTTGAAAAGTATGAGATGATAGGCAATGTTCTGTCTTCAAAGAAAATATTGAAACTCATGGTCAATGAATACAGTATTTCACAAGATGTTTGTCTTTCCAGGCTGCATCAGTCACATAACAGTGAATAAACCGTGAATAAAACACAGCTCAGTAATTGCCTGGTGTTTTGTTCTATATATGCAAACATCTGATTACTGGTGTGGTTGTAGCAATCTGGTAGAAATCCCCATGCAAGCACAGAAGCTTGGTCCAGGCACCAGGGATTTCACTTCTGGCTTCTATGCAATGCTGTATAGGCTGTTCATGTCTCTTCATTTACTTTATCCTCTATTCTCACTACTCTGGTGGTCTGTATTAGACTGCAATTAAATCTTAGTTACAGATATTGAAAAGAGTGTGAACAAAGCTTTACTGTGGTTTGGCAGAGCCAAACCCCTTAAAAGTCTTCAGCTGCTTAGCAGCCACCTCCCTGTGCTTTGCTCAGTGGCAAGGCAGCTGATCTCTCTGCAGTGAGGGTACCTGGTACCTGCCCAGCAAATGCTCCTCAGTGCTTCACTGGCTGAATTCCTCACAAGACCTTCAAATGAACACCCATTCTCATAATAATTTCTTCTGGTCGGTTGAAGTGCTTTAACTCTGACCATTTATGATTCTATTTACTCTTTTGAGGATAACTTATCTGAATTCAATCCCTAAGATGTGTCAGTGCAGGTGTTTATAAGAGAAGGTGCCCGCCTTAATGGCTGCATTGAAAATAGATTATTATAATACTCTTTAGAGGAGAAAAGGTAAAGAGTGACACTGTTTATGTTTTATTTTTTAATGATTCTACTAAATCCCACTCTTTGCCATTTCACTCTTCTTTTAAATTTCTCCACAGAGAAATTTAAGTGTTAAATTTAACAGAGATTAAAATCAAGAAAAAAAAATTTCCATGGAGGAACTGAAGTGCAGGAATATATTATTATGTACTGATTAATTTTATTCTAATTTCTTTATATATTGATTACAGGTGCAGTGAGAAAGTATTTTTTTCAGTAAAATGCTCTCTATGGAATCATGAATAAAACCACATTTTCCTCAACCAGATTCTTCTAGGGAAGCCCAGGTGCCTTCCTTGCAGCACAGTGTAAAGGTTTGGAGCCCTGGTGTCATCCCAGATGTGAAAGCTGTCCCTGCAAGGCAGACACAGGCTGAGCACATGTCTCTTCTCAATCACAGAGGCTCCAGCTTGGCTCAGCCACCTGCAGCCTGCGCAGAAGGATTTCTCCTTTTCCCAGGCTTCAGAAGAGAGTCAGCAACCATCAGGTGGTGTGACAAAGGTGATGGCAGTCTCTGGATTGGAAAGAAGGCACAAAGAAAACCTTTTGTGAACATTTACATTATGTTGTTGGGCTTTGCCCTCCTTTCCACATGAGGAGGTAATAGAGGACTGTGTCTTCTTTTGGGTTTATGGGAGCAGTTGTAGCCACTCCACACACCTCAGCTTATAAGGAAATGAGTAAATAAAAGTTATAGGAACTAGTGAAATAGTCCTGAACTAATATCTGCTCCAGGCTAGCTGGGCTTGGTAGGATATTAATTCTGCAATGTCCTTGTAGGAGTAAACTTTTGAGACCTGTGAAGTTCTGCTGAGAGCCCTGGATCTTGCCATGACATGCTGCCCACATGAAGAAAACTAGCAGCTGTTTTTCTTTAACTGTGATTAGGACAATGTTTCTTGGGAATTGTTTAATTAAATAGTATTTCTAAAGAAAATCCTTGAAACCCAACTTTCTCCCAAATGTATGCCAGAAATCCCAGCTGGCTGGTAGCCTGTCCCTGGCCAGTGGTGTAACCCAGGCATGGTCACTCCATTCACAGATAGATGTCTCTGCAGTGGGGAGCCTGGCTATGAGGGACAGCTCCATCTCACTTTTGATGGAAAGCATAAAAAAATCTGACTTCTCAATATGTCTCTAAAAGTACTGAAATTCCTTGTTGAACAGAATTCATGTTTTCAGACTAGTTCTGTGTTTTAAGTCTGTATTTTCTTCTGAACCTAAAATTCAGATAGAATTTCTAAACTTGCTTGTTGCTATGTTCTTAAAAAAATGTAGGCTGAATTTCAGGGACATTTCCACTGCTACTTTGTTCAAGAAGGATTTATGCTCCTGAGAAGTCATCTTAAGTCATCTTAAACGAATTCTTTGGCATACTCTCACGTTGCATCTTAGGGTTTTAACTTTGAAATTGGCAGGAGAGGGTATTTTGTCCTGTTTCCAAGCAAAATGAGACCTGTGTGTCTGAGCTGCTTTTCTTTGATCCTCTTTTTCAGTGCCTTCCATCAAATAATTGCTGAGCCAGTTGATCAATTTCAATCAAGTGGGACAGAAGGAGAGAGCTGTGAGACATGAAGTTTAGAAAGAAAACAGGTTCTTCAGTATGTCCAAGGGTCCTGGAAGAGTGCTTTTACCAAGGAAAGTGATCACAATGCCAGGAGCTGGCACACCAGTCATCCCCTAGACTTAGCAGCAGCCCCAGCAGAGGCTGTTACCTGCCCCAGTGGAGGGGTTCAGGAGGGATCCTTTGGGAACTGGCACCTCGAGGGCATGGGAGGCCCCTCTGCCACCCCTGGCACAGTGAGGTCTTTGTCAGGGCATTTGCAGTGAGATATTGCTCAGGAGCAACTTGTTATCTTGTGCTTGGGGCTCGGCCTGTAACATACTACACATGAGGCCCAAAGAACACACCTATCTTGGGGTGGCTAGGTTAGCCAGAACTGACAATTAGATGTTAAATAATTAAATTGTTTTAGCTATTAATTGTAAGTGAATGTTGTTTTTAATTGCACTTTAATAATGCCATGCCCTTTATAACCAAAATTAATGTTTTCTGTCTCTCTGTTTTTGAAGTACATGTCAGTTTAATTAAACTATTAATGGTAGACAGATTTTAAGTACTTTATATTCTTCATTAAATTGTATCTGCTCAACAAGCATAAACAGGAAAATAGACTCAGAAGCAGATTCATGTTCTGCCTGATAAATCATTCATCATCAGATAAGATGATGAGGCATGCTTGTTTTTCTGTAGGCTCACAATGATAAACAAATCCACTTTTGTATTGTAATATTTATTGAGTTCATAGAAAAATAAACAAGGCTGTTCACTTCTCATATCAGCAACAGGCCTGAAAGCTGCTGTTTGCATTTATGATTGGTCAGTCAAGCAATATCTTGATACTCTGAGGGTCAGTCTTAGTTCATTTTGTCTAGAGTGCTTGTTAGCAGAGCATTTCTCTGGTCTAAGATATAGTTCTTTCAGGGCCATTCAACTGCAGTAACGATGAATATTTCTGCTGTTCCTGCTGTGTTACCCAATTGTGTGCAGAAAGAATTAAAATAGCTTTTGATTTGGCAGAAATGATACATTTATAATGCAAATGTTGAGTAAGTCTCAATCCTGGTAGGACTGCAGGAAGGTTGATGGAAACAATTTTTTGAAGATTGTGAAAGACAAATTATGGCAAGATCATTTCTTCTCTATTGGTAAAGTCTGCAAATCCTAGTGGGCTGTTAATGGGGGTAATAGGCAGAAATTAAGAAACACTGCAGCAAGTGCTTGTGATACATTCCTGTGCATATTATACAGGCAGACAAAGATGTAACTGGTTATAATAGAGACAACAAACGTCCTTCCTTTGTGTGGCAGATCAATCAATAGCCAGGCATGTGATCTTGTTCACTATTATGTTAGTAATGAAACCTTCTTGTGATGTGACAACTGTGGAATAACATTTGGTCACAAAGCTGGTGTTAACAAGCACAACTGGCACTCTGGTAATTAGACTGATTCCTGGTCTACTTTCACAGATTGTCGATAAATGCAGTAAACAACAGGCTGCTTTCTCTCAGAAGAAGTTATATGAAGTTGTCATCCATTTGACGGTATGTACTGCATTCTTCTTCATCTTCTATCAGATTCTGCCAAGGTGGGGATGTGCTTATATTTCACTATAAAATAATGTTTCACAATAAAAACTTTGCGTGGATTGTTAAACAATCACCTAATTAATGTCAACCTTTTTTTTCTCTAGGGAAGAAAGCTGATTTCTCAGTTACAGGTAGGCAGTTAGATGGAGATGTTCTTCCTCAAATTTTCAATGTTCTCCCCTCTAAAACAGCTGTGTCTGCTGTGGACAGCCATTTATATTGTTTAAGGATAAACTGAAATCTTAAAAACCGTGGATTACCCTTGATTTAAAGGCCAAGAATATAGATCATATACAATTGTAGTAGAATTTTTTACATTACACAAAATAACTACATTCAGCCATGGATGTGCTAGCCAGCTTTTCCATCGCCAATTTCGGGTTGTTATGTCAAAACTCATTTGCTGTTTTGCTCTTTCCACAGACCTGCAGTAGTGGAAATCTGAACTGTAGTTTGGTTTTTTCACCCTCATGGCAGAGTAAGAAGGAATGAGAGCTCCTTCCCTAGGCCCTGTATCTCCTCCAAGCTCACAGTCTGGCTCTGTGCGTAGGAAAATATGTGAATGATGTAACTCTGTCTCCTCAGCTTCCAAAGCAGAAGAATTGAATCAACTGAGGTATGTCTGGGGAGCTTTTCAGTTTATTTTGCATTGGCTAAGTGGCAAAGCTTAAGCTGGAGGCACTGGAAACCTCCAAGGGTTTCTATGCTTGCTCTTCTTTCACAAGGTGCACTCAGAAACTGGAGACATCCAGAGGGGATGATGAGTAGTGGCAATGCCATGGCATGTCTGGGCACTGGTGCTTCATGGCACTTTGCTCAGATCTGCTCAGTCCAGCTCCATCTTGCTTTCAAGGGTTCTTACTAGTTTGATTTGACTAAGAGGGATTTCTTTCTTGTACTGGGCCATGTTTTGACCACTTGCTGCAACTAAATTCACTCTGAAACATCAAGAGAATAGTGAGCATCACTTCATGGCCATTATCAATTGTTTCCAGATTGCAATTCCCTTTGTAATTGACAAAAAGCAGTGGGAAAGGAGTGTTTTACAGTAGGTACCTAGTTTTATGCAGGTTTAATGCAGGAAGATGCCTCATTAGCAGTCAGTAAACATAAAAACTAAATTCACACTCATAAACCAGGGAGAGGTTTAGGACACATTCACTGAGCCATAGGTATAAAGAAGTTAGAGGATATAAATAGCAGTGAATGCAGTATGCTAATCTGAATGGTTGGAAATGAATATCAGAGGTGTTTGTTGCTGCTCCCTGCAGAGCAGTCTCTGCTTTGAGAAACCACTGAGAAAGACCAGTGAGGCTCTCTAAGGCTTGTAGGTTTGTACCAACAGGTTCTAGGAAAGAATTGTGGAAAGTAACAAAAGAGTTACTTTTGTTGGGTAAGAAAGAACAGTGTTTAGGGAGGGATTAGCAAGAGGCCTGTGGGTGCACCAAAATGCCATGTGCTCAGAGAATGGGCAGTGAGAATCTCTTTTGACTTGTGGCTGGCTGTAGATGGTGGTATGATTTTGAGTGAGACCTCATGTCACACAGAATCACAGAATGGGTAAGGTTAGAAAGGACTGCAGTGTCTGGTCCAACCTCCCTGCTCAGACAGAATCATTGTAGAGCACACTGTGCAGGATTTTATTCAGAGATTCTGGAATTTCTCCAGTGGGGGAGACTAGAAGGCAATCTGTTCCAGTGCTTGGTCACCCTCACAGTAAATAAGTTCTTCATATTTAGGTGGAACTTCCCGTATGTCCGTTTCTGCCCATTGCCTCCTGTCCTGTTGCTCAGCACCCCTGAGCAGAGCCTGGTCCATCATCTGACACCTCCCTTCAGACACAGACAGAGAGGGATATGATTCCCTCTCAGTTTTCTCTTCTCAGCTGAACAGCCCCAGCTCCCTCAGTCTTTGTGATTTGCTCCAGTCCCTCCATCATTGTCAACCTCTGCCAGACATGACCCAGGAGCTCTGTGTCTCTCTTGCTCCATCGTTCTCTTCAGCTGGAGGGACAGAAATGAACCAGCTTGTGCTCCAGATCCCTTGACCTGCTGACCTAAGGCCCTGAGATCCCTCTTGATTGCTTGCAACCTTCTTTTTGGGACCTTGTCACTGCCTACCTGGAAATCCAGTGCAGGGTAACACTTGATGGGCTGTAGCAGGCTGGGAGGGTCCTGGGTGATGTCTCTTGTGTGGGCCCCAGGGAGGCAGTGTAGCTCCCTGTGGGTTGGGTCTGGTCAGTGACTGGGCCCTCCATCCCCCTCAAAAGGCAAGTCACCAATAGCTACTACCTTTGTTTTTTTCTTCATGGAGGAAGTTTTGATGCAGGGGGTAGGCTGCCCAGCCCTAGGTGACACCTCCATCTTGGAAGAGCCTTCATCCATGCACACATTTCCCCAGTCCTCATTTTGCTGGTTCTCAGATATCAAGGCCTCATACTTATTTTGAGGTATGAGGTAAAGGGTACCTGGGAAGGTGAGGTAAGTCAGGGGGGAATCATCCCCCAACCCCAAGCAGAAACACATTTTTCCTCCACATAGTCCTTCCTTGGTAGGGAAGGCACTACAGGAGAGCTAGGTCTGAACTCCTTCTGAAAGCAGGGTCAGCCATGAGGCCAGACCAAGTTACTCAGAGTTTTGTCCTGTCTGTTGTAGTGAACCTTCAAGAGTAGAGATGACGTAGCCTCCCTGGGACACTGCTTCACTGCTGTTCTCCTTCCCAGAAATCACACTTACAGTAAAAATGCATCTTTTCAATTGTTCCTCCAGTTTCAACTTGATTTTGTTTGGACTCAGTGCTTCCCAGAATTCCACATAGATTTCTATGGGCAAGCCTCACATCTATTCGTAAAAGACTCAAATCTGCTGCTGATGCAACACTGAGATTGCATTGACCTGTCAGTGGGAGTCCATAAGCAATGAATATTTTCTTGCTGCAGGAAGTCAGAAAATAAAGCCTTTGCTTCTAGAAGAGACTGGGTTCAAGTACCACTAGCTGCAGTAGGTAACAAGAACATTTGTGTCATTTAAAAAAGAGGCAGTTGGTCAAGAGCATGTTGAAAGCATCACACATTTGGAGAAAGAACCTCTGCACTTGGGAGGTAACTGAAGAAACAAGACAAGGAGATATTTTGCCATTCATATAATTTAAGCTCTGCTGTTTTGAGAATGTTTCATCACCATGCAGATTACTTTGTAAAATGATGACAGTGCAGAGTGTTTCCAGCACCTGGCTGGAAAATCTTAGCCATGGCTGTGCTATTCAGACCTTGTCGATGCACTGCCTGTAGAAAAGGTTTTTGTCAGGAAAAAGCACAGTGTTCTTCCTTCTTAGGAGCATATTTCAGATTCTAAAGTGATTTCTTTGGTAACATTGAATAAATTCTAGTTTACTAGATTTGATTTCTAAAGAAATATAAGGAACAGAGTACGACTAAGTGACAGATAAGATGCCTTGGCATTCTGTGTTTATTTGCCATCAGTTACTTTCATATTAAATTGTTCCATTTACAAGCTAGTATAATTTTTTTTCCTAGGTGCCTGCTGCTCTGTCTAGTTGTGGAAAATGAAGCTCAGTTGTTTATGACCTGTGCTGTACTTCATCAGCTGTACATAACTTCACCAAAAGTACAAGTTCTGGAATGAGAATACAGCTTTGCCAGTGGTAGCACAGCATGAGGCAATGTATAATGCATATTACTGTGGTGCACCTGTGCTGGCTTTCCCTTGCTTATTGGGATAAAAAGTGTGCTTTATTAGCAGGCAAATAGGGAAAGCTTAAGAGGCCAATCTTCTGTGCTTGGCATATAGAGCTCCCATTAACATTAGTGAGTAAAGTGGATATATTTTGACAAGAGAGCAAGGACTTAAGAGAACAGATGAGTGCAGAAACAAGATGACACTTTCATAGTCACTTTTCTGACCAAACCTGAATGTTTTGAGTCTCTAAATGTAAAGATTGCATAATGTGTTTTTATTAGTTAATAACTGTCAAAAACCTAGTGAGGAAGCCAGGTCTAGTCTTTACCTTTGAGAGAACAAAGTGCCAACTTCTCCCCAGCCTGTGCTTAAGCCTGTCCTCAGTAAAACACCTCTCTCCCACCTTTCTCAAACTCATAACAGTTATCTTCTTGTTTTCATCTTCCCTGTGGAAATTATTAATTAAAAATTCTTTAAGAAGAAAGCTTTGTCGCTATCTAGATAGCTCAGATTTTTTTTTTTTGCATCTTTTGAAGGCTGTGGATGCATGAAAGAAGGTGATGAGAGAAGGACGAAGATCACAGATTTTCCTCTGGTGATGCACAGAGGTGCTGTGCTCTGTGGCAGCCTTTTGTGTCACAGCCCATGCAGACCAGACCTGCTGTTGGGGTGAATGCTCTGGGATGACTGGAGGGAAGAGACCAGCCTCCCCTGAAATGACAAAGGTGGTGATTCCCCAGTGTTTAGTGTAGGCAAAGAATTCTCTGCATATCCTTCTTCATATGTACAATGTATCTGTCTTCCCAATTTCTCACAGAGAGTTAGATTCTGAATTTTTAACTTGCCTGGATAAGGCAACTACCTAGAAGAAATGAGAGATCAGCTGAGGAGGTTTCTGAACTAGGTTTGCTGGGGAGCCTAAGGCTTATTCTGGCTTTTCAGGATGCAGCAGTAACCAAGAACATTTATTCCCATTTCCACTTGGCAAAGAAGATTTTTTTTTCCTTCTCTTTTCTTTCAGCTATGGGTTTCATTGCAATTACTTTTTTTTCTGTCTTTCCAAAATCCAATTACTGAAATGCTGCTTTTTGGATGCCCTTAGCCAATACCCTGAGTGTCCATTTGAAACAGCTAGACAGATATGATGTATAACAGATTTTTGGTTGAGTGACAAAACTGAATCCAACCCAGATGAACCTGAATCAGGCAGTTTAATAAGACTTTTACAAAGTTAAAAAAAAATTATTTATATTCTACATTGAAAGAAAAAAAGCTTAAATATTTGATTTCTTTCCCAGGATTTTTAGTACGTATTTTTTTTCAATCATGACACATTTTCATTTCTTAGTGGTAAAGCTATTTTTAGAAAAAAACCTCACTTTGGAATCTCACTTTAGAATCTCACTTTGGAATCTCGCTTTGGAATCTCACTTTTAATATAGTAAAAGCTGTTTCAACATTTAAAAAAGAAAAAAAAAAAACCCTTGTACCTTGTCAGCGGAAGCTCTGTCCTGTTCTGAGCACGGTGGCAGGAGCTGCCTGCATTGCTGTGCGCCCCGGGGTGTGGGTGAGAGCAGCCCAGGAGCCCTGCCCGGGCATGGGCGCGCCAGACCCCGCCGTGCCCGGTGACAGTGACTGCTCTGTCCTGCGGGCTGGGCTCCGCACACCGGCTCCAGCGAGGGCTGCTGCTTACCAGGCTCGCCTCAGTGCGCTGCGTTTGTGTCTGCGAAGCTCTTGCGGTACAACCTAGGCAGGGCATGATTAAAGAAGGTGACCCAACCTTCCTGCTGCCCAGCTAAGTTTCATGAAGTTCTTGGGAAATTCAAAGCCTGGTTAGTTTTTTTAGTGTGTCTGCTGGGGAGGTGGCTTACTGACACATTTGAGATATTTTGTCACTTGGAAGCATTGAGCCAATTTA